TAAATCAACTGCCATGTTCATACGTATCTCTTGATGTAGTTGTTGTTGTTGTTGTTGTTGTTGTTGTTGTTGTTGTTGTTGTTGTTGTTGTTGCTGTTGTTGTTGTTGTTGTTGTTGTTGTTGTTGTTATTGATGTTGTTTGTTTTGAAAAGACAACAGCAATTAGGATCTTGCTCATCATATGTCAACCCCGTCTATTGTACGTTGATAGGCTTACCATGATGCCACTGTATCACTGTGACAAGAAACTACTGTACTACTGTGGTAAGGTCCCACTGTTAAATGATACCACCGTACCACTGTAATATGATACCACTGTGAAATGATACCACTCTACTTCTGTAATATGGTACCACTGTGACATGGAGACGTTCGAGGAAGGAAGGAACGGAGAAAGGGAGACGGCACAGGCAAGCAGGTATATCGCGTAAAATGGAGAACACCAGTGTATACCAGATTGGTATTTTTTAAAAATCGTTCTACCTCAGTCCCTACCCCCTTTCCCCACCAAAAATAACCCATCGGGGATATTGACTCAACGTATAATTAAATCCACTAGATCAACAGCTCCCTCTCTCTCTCTCTCTCTCTCTCTCTCTCTCTCTCTCTCTCTCTCTCTCTCTCTCTCTCTCTCTCTTTCTCTCTCTCTTCCCCCTTTCTCCCTCCCTCTCAGTCCTTGTCGGACCAACTGTACAAGTCAGATTAATGCTGAGACGACAATGGTATAGATTTATTGTATTTTCGAACTGGAAATGTAGTCAGTGGATCCAACCTAGCACAAAGAAACTCGAGACAGGAAGATGAAGAGAAGGAAACAGAGAGAGGGAGAGAGAGAGAAATAGAGAGAGAGAGAGAGAGAGTGACAGACAGAGAGAGAGAGAGAGAGAGAGAGAGAGAGAGGGGGGGGGGAGCAGGACTATGGAATGAATGAAAGGGAGCGAGAGAGAGGGAGTGAGATTGAGAGAAAGAAAGAGAGAGAGACAGAGAGAGAAAGGGAAGAGAGAGAGAAAGAGAGAGAGAGAGAGAGAGAGAGAGAGAGAGAGAGAGAGAGAAAAGAGAGATAGAGAGATTAGGTATAAGGAGACAGAAAGAAGGAAACCACCAGACTGGACTAACAAGACGAAAGGCGAGAAAGTAAACGAAAGTGACCGCATAATATATACTCACAAATGCTCTCCACTGACCGCGAGTGGCCGTGAGGCCAGTCAGCGGCCAGCGGTGTCCGGGCGTGATGGAGCACCCACTGCAGGGGCTGTCCTGGTCTGAAACGGCGAGTCACGTGATGATTTTTTCCTCCAGGCAACTTTACTACAAGTACAAGGACGAAGGTTGTTGAAGGATCGTGTAGATAAGATAGGTCCTATTTCTTTCCTCTCTGTCTGTCAATTCGCTATTTATTTCTGAAACCATCTTCCTCTCCCCTTTCGAAAAATGATCATCTTTTTATATGTGATTAATTGTTTGTAAACAGAGGCGAAGCGTCTATAAAATCAAATAATCACTGCTTCCCTTCTTAATTTTGAAACATTGTCGCAGTCAAATTCACCCATAAACGTAAACTTCATACATTAAATGTAAAAAGACGTTCATAATCAACAATGAACAGTATGCCTAACATTCTAAACGGTTTCATTGCCACAGAAATAGCCTGTTCTCCCCTCTTGGGCCACTTCATAAGCAGTCACAAGCTTTGATTAAGTAAGCTTAAAGTGAGACTGGAAGAGTCTACCAACATAGTAATAGTTGAAGGGAACATGTGCATAGCAGTCTAAACTGTTTCATTGCCACATATACCCTGTTCACCCCTTTCGGGCCACAGTTATAATCAGTCTCAAGCACTGATTCGGTAAGCTAACTATTACACTGGTCGAGTCTACCTCACAGATGTGTGGGGAACTAACTCCTAATAATCTCTCACTGCTGCGAGAGCTTGTTTTTTTTCCTCGACTTTTTACTACCCTATAATCAGATCGTGACCTCGATTATGACACAGGCTCGTGGCCGCGAAAGGCTAGACAAAAAACAGCCAAATGTGAAATAAAAAAATTATAATTGTCATGTTCTACCAAACAGTTAGACTCCCTGGTAAATCTATAACATATAGATCTAGTACTGACATCTCTGCTTCTTTGCTTTGTGTTTGTGTATTCACATCTAAAGTTAAATTTCATTTTAATTGGAATTGCTATTTAATGAGATACTTTCCCGATTATTTGGGCGGTTGAACATACAATAATGAATTCCGGATTTGTTTTCATTCACAACTCTGAGTCGCCGCCTCGAGCAAGGTTCTTGTGCGATATCCCCAGGCCATATCTGTTCCCGTTTCACTTTGATTACCCTGTCAAACAAGTCAGCCTTCGCCCCTGTTTGTAAATGGTTTACACCCCATATCGACTTATATAGATGACTAAGGGAGTGAGCAACGTGAACCTAGCCTGACTGACATGCAGAATCCAAGCAAAAAGATCGAGGTACTTGAATAAATTGTGAACATTCCTCGGCAGGAATCGAACTCGCGTTTTTTTTTGGTATCCAATGAGAAGAGCCCAACCGTTACTCCACAGACACTGGTAATTTTACCTGTTCACGTACTCAAAGTAAATATACACCATACTTTCTGAAACGACAATCTTTATTCATCCCAACAAGACGTGAAAGGTGATGTAAAGACGAATCGCTACTTTGCAGAAATTTGGAGAGATCCTTTCTTCTGCAAGTGTGATAGTGACAATTGGTCAACACATAAGCTAAAAAGGCAGAGCTAAAAAACAACAAAAACAAACAAACAAATCCAAAAACAACCCCACCTCCAACCACAATAGTCACACCACCACCAATAACACAAAATAATAACAACATCAACAATAA